ATACACGTTCAGATAAGTTTCCATCGCAAATCCGGCGGGTCAAATCCACTAAAATTGATGGAGGTTTAAATCCTTGTTCTTCACATAGAGCGAAAATAGACGGGAACTAATATGATGCTTTGGATCAAGTGGTTTTAGTCACGTTTGTAAGGTTCATATCCCCCTCTTTCAGGGCAACTATTCGAACTGGCCCATGATAACAATGTTCAAAAAAAAAAAAGACGGGAACGCCGGCTGGGCTGATAGACTGTCGTGGTCAGGGCCATAGTCTTATTGGTCTCATCACAACAATGACACTGGCCCAATTATAAACGATTGCTAACAACAACATGCGTGATCAGGGCCCAAGTCTTATTGGTCTCTCATTAACCGGACACTGATGACTGACCCATTTTTAAACGGTTGGCAAACATGCACTATAAAATATAGAGCAATGCTAGGGGCACTCGCTTTTCGCACTCTCCGGCCGACACTTCCCCTTTCATTGGGCCACGTAAGCTTCTTTAAAGCTTTTAGCCACAACTCATCGGAACCAAGATAACGTGGCCCAATAAAAGAGAAAGTGTTCACCGGAGAGTGCGAAAAGCGAGTGCCCCTAGCATTGCTCTAAAATATAAATCTCTCTTCTTCTTCTTCTATTTTAAAACCCATAAGCATGCCGAACAAGAGATGGTTTATCCTCAAGTATTAGTATTTAGATTTAATTGATCAAATCTGCAATGACTTGAAAAAAATTTTCTATCCCCCAAATTTCCTCATATTCAAGAAAAAAAAAAAAACCCATAAGCATACCACTTTTCATTTTAATGGTAAGACATTAAATGTTACTCCATGTTTTAATTTTAATCTTATTTCAAATTAAATCTTAATTATTATAATAAACAAATTTGAAGAAATTGCAATTTAACTATTTGTGGTTTGAGATAAGTACACATAATGAGGTTTTAAAATATATACATAACAAATCTATAGTTTTATCTATACATGGATAAAAGTTTGAGATTTCAAAATTTACATATAAACACCTAAAGTTTGCACTATGTGTTAATAAACATTTGAAATTTTTTAAAATTCCATAAAAGCCCTAACTTAAAAAGAATGAAAAGAAAAAAAAAGAAAAGAAAAAAGAAGAGAGTATTTAAGATATTTCATGTAATCTCAAGTAATTATATGCACTTAATAAAAATCTTAGGTGTTTATGTTCACATTTTGAATTCTCAAGTATTTATATGCATTTATCTCAAACTATAAATATATCGTATGTACATTTTAAAATCTCATATTTTCATTTACATCGACCTCAAACCACAAGTAGCTAACATATAATTTTTTCAATACATTTTTAATAATTATAAAAAAAAATAAAGTAATATATTTTTTTTATGAAAAACAAAGGAATTTTATTATGTGAGTACAAAGGATACTCAAACCCATTGACAACATTATGTGAAGTTACATATAGAAAGTGGATCAAAATACAAAATCACAGTGCACTCCCAAGAAAGAAACCTGGAATCTAGCTTCCCATCTAAACTCTATTTTCTATTTGTCAAGCATTTTACTAGATTGAAAATCCATTCTATAAAAGAAAATTTTTTTAAATTTAACAGAATTCTAACCCAATGAAATGAATGGAATTGCACAAGTTCAAAGAGCTTGTCCTCATTAACCTTCTTATGTTGAAAAGCAATTTTATTTCTACTCAACCACAATGACCACACTATGATAAACTATAATATGTTCCATCCTTTTTTCAGAATTTTTGGGCCCTTATGCCATAATAATTAAATCAGACCAAAAGGAGCTGTGAAAAGAAAAGAAGAGGGAAAAAGTATTCGTTTCAGGAAAAAAAAAAGGTGAAAGATGCATGTACCAAGAAAGAACAGTCATGGTTATAATCACCATTTAATTCATTAAAGTTATTAATAATTATCAAATTTTTATTTTAATTTGATGATTAAAAATAAATAATAATTAATAAAATAATTAATATTTATTATTTAATAAATTAAAATTAATTTATAAATAAATATTTTTAAATATTATTTATATTTATATTTAAAAAATTATAAACCAATAAAATTACAAGTCTACAAAGGCACAACCTAACACAAAGAGAACAATTTTAGATAAGAGAGATGCTGGATGCACATCCGATAACGTCAACGTTACCCAATTAATCAACCAAACAAATCTTTGTTGGGAAAGTCGATTTTAATTCTCTGGAAAGTGCCAGCTCTGCAACAGCTTCTCTCCACTTCCATAAATAGAAATGGAGATTGGAAAGCATAAAAACATACCGTAAAGCGCGCCAAAAAAAATAATAAATAAAACAAAACGAAAAAACAGACTCTGTTACGAACGAGTCACAACATTCTTATCCAATGCTAAGATTCTCTCCTTGATTTCCTCAAATTCTCATATATATATCCAAAAGGGTTGCTTTTTTTTTCACAAATTTCTTTCCTTTGGACTGCAGACTTCGAAATTTTAAAGCTTTTTAAGGTTTCATTTCTGGGTTTGAAATGGGATCGGCTGCGGAGCAAACCATTCTGGTAACTGGTGGGGCTGGGTTCATCGGCACCCACACGGTGGTGCAGCTTCTCAATGAGGGTTTCAGGGTCTCGATCATAGACAATCTTGATAATTCAGTCATTGAAGCTGTTGATAGGGTCAGGGATTTGGTTGGTCCTCATCTTTCTCAGAAACTCGAGTTCAATAAGGTATTATTAGATTCTTCATCTGAAGATTAAAATTTTCAACTTTTGTTAGTATGAGTTTCATTTTGAGGGGTTCTGTCCCTTGGGATTTAGACTCATGATATAGATTTTATTTCATGGGTTTGGCTTGGTTGCAGGGTGATCTAAGGAATAAGGAGGACTTGGAGAGGCTTTTCTCCAGGACAAAGTATGTTAATTTCATATCTACTTTCTGGTTTGGATGATCTTCAACTTTGTTTCGTGTTGCGATGTTCTATGTTATAGCTAGACTAGATTTCATTTGAAATTGTCTACCTAAATGAATTCTTTGTCCAATTCCTTTTTGTACATAACTTTGATTGATTTTGTCAATTGATTGTCTTGGCTTAAGAATGGCGCAGGTTCGATGCAGTTATCCATTTTGCTGGCCTTAAGGCCGTTGGAGAGAGTGTTGCTTATCCTCGTCGTTATTTTGACAACAATTTAATTGGTACCATCAATCTGTATGAGGTCATGACAAAATACAACTGCAAAAAGGTATTGGAAATGTCTTAGGATTTTTCTCCTTTGCTTTAATTAGTCGTTCGAGTTAGAGTTGCAGATTTCAGTAAGGAAGATATGGAAGTACTATGATTTTCATAAAGTTTCTGGACATTAATAGCCCAACTTAAAAAATATTGAGCTTACCCTTTGTCATGTGTAACCATTACTAACACAAGATGCATCTTTTTCTTTCTTCATGGGGAGAACAGATGGTGTTCTCTTCCTCTTCAACTGTTTATGGCCAACCTGAAAAAATACCATGTGTTGAGGATTTTGAGCTCAAGGCCATGAATCCTTATGGTCAAACCAAGGTACACATTATTATGCTTTCTTTGTGCATGTTAATCATAGATTCCCTGTGTCAAGTTGAATAAATTCTTTGGAGTTCTAATTGCTATGCTCGTATGACTTTTTTTACCAGCTTTTCCTAGAAGAAATTGCTCGAGATATCCAGAAGGCTGAGCCAGAGTGGAGGATTATCTTGCTGAGGTACTTCAACCCTGTTGGGGCTCATGAAAGTGGTAAAATTGGAGAAGATCCAAAGGGCATCCCCAACAATCTAATGCCTTACATACAACAAGTGGCTGTTGGCAGGTTGCCTGAACTTAATGTATATGGTTATGATTATCCAACAAAAGATGGAACTGCGGTATGTAACTTGTCCTAATCTAATGTTATCTTTTCCATTAACATATTATGCACATAAGACGACTTAGGTTGATGAAATTGCTCTCTTTTATGAACAGATCCGAGACTATATCCATGTCATGGACGTGGCTGATGGTCACATTGCTGCTCTAAGGAAGCTTTTTACAAAAGATGATATAGGTTGACTAATGTTAACATTAGTGATTTTACACGTTGATTTACTTGCATTGATCTCATAATTTGAATGATTTATGTATGTTAATGTAAAATTGTCTCCATTTCTAGGTTGTGTTGCCTACAACTTGGCAACTGGTCAGGGTACCTCGGTTCTTGAAATGGTTGCTGCTTTTGAGAAAGCATCTGGCAAGGTTAGGCTCTTCCTCTCTCCCCCTATCTATCTCTTGCAAATCTTAAATGATCATATTTTTAAGTGTCATCCCTGGTAAACATATTGCAGAAAATCCCCATCAAACTATGCCCAAGAAGGCCTGGAGATGCCACAGCTGTTTATGCAGCTACCGAGAAAGCTGCTAAAGAACTTGGTTGGAAGTATGTTTCACCAGTTTCCTATTAATTTGACATTGCAACGCCATAACATCGATCTTCTATTTCATAGCCATACTTTCTTAGTACTCATATATTTATTTCTCCCCCTGTTTGTGGCAGGGCAAAATATGGTGTAGAAGAGATGTGCAGGGACCAATGGAAGTGGGCAAGCAACAATCCATTGGGATACCGAAAGTCTCAATGATCATTGCTTTCCACGAATAAAACATGAAAACTCTTTTAACTCCTGACTCCTCAGTTCTGCAAAAGGGTTCGTAGAGCATTTTATGATTCATTGTAATCTTGTTCTCTCCTTATTTTGAAAGTTAATCATTGGAGAAAATAATTGTGCAACTATTTCATTAAATACTATATATGTAGTTTTGAATCTTATCTTTGGGAGTCTGAGAATCCCTCTCTTTAATCACATATTTTATCACGTTTTAAAAAAAAAAAATGGAGAGCATAAGCATAAATTTCCTTATGAAAAAGCCTCATTCAGACAACACAAAACGTCAAACTACTCTAATTTCTTGCAATTTTAACAAGATGATGCCTTTGTAACCTTTTGTTGTCTTAAAACTTGCTTCTATGTCAGTTTGTGAACAAAGATTTTAGTTTTTTCTCCAATAAATTTTTAATATGAGAGAACAAATTGTTGACAAATTAATTACACCTTCTACTTTAAAATATAAATTATTTAACATTTTTTTTAGCATAAATATATGTATAGATGTGTGTGTACCTATATTATTATATATATGTTGCAGACTCGTCTGGGGAAATCTCATCTGGG